GTGAAGCTACAACCTAACCCACAGAGACTGTACACAATGTTCCCTCCTACAAAGGACAAAGGAGTTCTTTTGTTTGTGTAGAGGGGTTTTTGGTTGGTTGGTTGGTTTTTTGTTTTAAGTACAATTATCACAGTATAAATAGAAACGGCTGCATTTGCTTCTTTCACCGAAATCCCTGGCAGATTTAACTGCTTCAAACATCTCTTCCTGACTGTGGACAGCCTGAATGACCACAGCACCCGCTTGAGTGTGGGATGACAGCTGAGGATACTCACACTCTTAGTGGGCTAACCAGCAGGGCAATGCAAGAAGTCTGAAATGACCATGCAAGGAGAGGAAGTCTCTCAGAAAAAGATGGGAATGAGAAATAAAGTGAAGCTACTCCTATAAAAACATTGTGATGAACACCAGTCCAGAGGACAGAAAAATATCACTCTGACATACACTCTGGTTGAAGAGTAGCCTGATACTAATACATTAAATAATTAAATATTAATAATACAATACAATGATACAAATAATGCAAAAAATGGATGAATAATGTATTAATATATACTACATTAGAAATGGAAATAAAAATGTCTGCCCAGGTTCGATCTGTTACCTCCTGAAGGTTGTACATAAAGATCACCATGAAGCATGATTCCAAGAGACCTGTGCTGACCCTGACCATGTCCTCTCTAGCTGCAGCAGTATAGCCAGTGTAATGGCATTACAAGAGGAGCTTACTAGCAGATACTCACCACTGGATCCAATCACTCAGGGTGATGACTATCCTTATGGACCCAGGCTAGCATTTATGCACAGTTTGCAACTGTTGTCCAACTGTTAACCCAGAACTGTCAATTCAATACTCCAACTCAGCTTTTCATAAAGGAGAGTAATTAGGAAAAACTTCTTGAGTCACCAAAAAGAAAGAAAATGCTAATCCAGTGGAGCAAAATCTGAAAGGCTGGCATCAAACCTTGCCAGAGCAAGAAGATCCAAATAAAGAGCAACACTCATTACCTAATGCCATATCAGTTAATCAAGGGACAAACCTCCCACTAATGTTGCTGTTACAGCATCAAGGCATGGGACTAACTCTCCATCTCCCCTTATAAAAATTGCCTGTAAAAGCTACCTTAACATTGCCAGTATATTTATGGGGCAGTTGGAGAAATGCAGTATTAATTTTTTCATTTGCAAATCTTCTATAACTTCAGACAAAGTAAAATGAAAGTCTTAACATACAACTGAGATTCAGTGCATAAAATAACACTGTTACTGCCAAGGATTTTTATAAACTAATGAGTAATCCATTTCAAAACCCCTACTTGTTTTCAGAAAGTGTCCTGTAGAAAAAAGTATAACCTCTTCTGCAGAACCCTTTCACACTTCTTATCAGACTCTGTGACAAGAACGTGGTTTCATGCACTAAAATTACTGCAGGACAAAACTTAGAGTGAACTATGGAGCAGCATTCACAATTCACAAGTAAATACATCATGTACAGCTTTAATCAACTTTTGAAAGAGATTAAAAGCAAAGTTAGCATAAGAAAGAAACACAAAAGGGAAAAATAAAGAGAAAGAAATAAAGTCTATAAAGACGCAGTCTGATAGGAATTTATCAATGTAATTACAAGTGCAGCAAAGCTGGCTATTGGTGAAATCTGTAACTTTCTGCACAGAAAATGGAAAAGGGCCTTAGTTTTCCTAATCAGTGACTGCAATCATCTGTTTGGAATTTTACGTCCTCAGCTAATGGAATATTTTCATCTGCACAGAACACCTACATTGCAGCTTACTGGTTGGATAGTAAAGAAAATCAGGTTTAAAAAATTTAAATAGATATGACTGCCAAAAATAAAGACATTATACATATAAAGGAAATAGCATTCATGTTTTTCTTTGTATTTAGCATCTTTCTGCTCATCTAAGCCTTTTAAAGCCCTTCAACAGTCCTTTCAATACAGCAGGAAATAATCCTGGATATACTGCATATCTGACCTGGGTTTCACTTCAGATTTATCCTGTTTTCTTATTTTCAATAATACATAACCTTTGCATTAGAACCTCTCTGGAGTCCAGGCAATGCACAACTAATCACTGAAGTGAGAAGCTATTGTAAAAGGCTTAACAAGCTCTGCCCCTCAATCTTGCATTGTGATTACCTCAGAATAATTACTTCTGGAGATAACTGAGGAAGATCATATTAGGCTGAGGCAAAACAGAGAGCTGGCTAAGTGCATCAATTACAGCTGAATAGAGAGGAGAGGAGACAAAGATATCACAGGACTATTGCTATTATTTATGGAGTGGTCATGGAGAATTCAAATAATTTGTTATACTTACAATAGCTGTTGGAGTTGAAGCCAGCACACAGTACAGCACAAGAGGTGAAATGAAGCTCTCATCCTCTGTCCCAGGGTATGGTTTCATCAAATTGCCATCCTGACAGAAGAAACCTTGGATATGCACCTGAAAAGTGTCGGTGTACTCGAAGTAGTAGGCAAGCAGAACAGTTCCAGCCATGATGACAAGCTGAAAATAAAGCATGGTCACAGAGAGGCGTTAGTTGCTTTTTGAACAGATGCAGCTGTGCCTCCGAGCTACTCTAGTCCTACAGACCATCCTCCCTCCACAGTCACTCTGACAGCCCCTGCCATAATGGGGCGTGTGTGTGTCTCTGCGCCTTGGCTTTGCAACATCTGTTACATAAACCTTTTGGCAAACGACACTAATGAACGTCTCAGATAGGAGCAGGTCTGTAGCACGGCGTGCAGGGGACGGGAGCTCTGACAGCCACTTCATCAAAGGGCATGTGAGTGTCAACAGCAGTGGCGATCGATGAAAGCGGCAGGACGAGGGGCAGCGTGGCAGGAGCCAGCAGCACTGACAGCTAAAACCTGTGCGCAGCGGTAGGGAGTGAGAAAGGATTATTACAAAGGATAAAGGAAGCTAAAGCCAAAATGCTTCCTTGCTGCAGCTGCAACTCCATGCTGGGGAACGTGCACTCTGTGCTAATCCAGAAGAGCCCTCTGTGTCCCAGATGAAGACACATCCAGAGGAAAACCTGCCTCCTGCTGCTCACCTTTCCCTGGAGCTGCTTCTTATGAGTAAAGCTTTAGAAGTCCGCTCAGAAATCCTGACTGCCCAACAGCCTGTGGGGGCTCCTGTGCACTGCCTGGCTTCCCCACTCCATCAGGGCTGCTTTTGATAAAACTGGCTTGAGTCTGGAGTTTGAACTTCAGATACAAACTGCAAGGAGCCTCTCTGGTCTCTGTTTTCATAGCTTATGGCTAGCTAAATGAGTTGGTTGGAACCTCAGCTGTCCACTTTTTTGTATACATCCACAGTTACTGTGCATGAGCTGTTGTCATCATATGTGTCAGCTTCCTGCAAACATCTTAGGACACCCTCACCAAAGTTGTCACTAACCTCACTTCAAGGAAATAACCACATTTACAAATTCTTATTCCTTCTCTGCCAGACTGCAAAGGAAATCTCACATCACAATACTCGTCAATGACAAAACCAGCAATATTATAACGGGTATAAGGGGTAACAGGTTTAAGCTAAAAGAGGGTTGATTCAGATTAGATATGAGGAAGAAGTATTTACACTGAAGGTGGTAAAACACCAGCACAGGTTGCCTAGAGAGCTGATGGATACCTCATCCCAGCAAATATTCAAGGCCAAGTTGGACAGGGCTTTGAGCAACCTGGTCTACTGGAAGGTGTCCCTGCTCATTGCAGGGAGCATGGACTAGATGGCCTCTAAAAGGTTCCTTCCAACCCAAGCCATTCTATGAATCTATGATTCTAAATTACGACAATTATAGGATCTGATTCAGAATCTTCTTGATGGAGACTTGTGCCTTCTACCACTATTAAACGAGTTGTCACACATACAAGTTATCTTGCCACACTAAAGAAAATAATTAAGAATGTCAAACAACCAACACCAAAGTAGCTTGGTTTTAGTATTCTGCCTCCAGAATTTCTGCATCAAAACTATATTTCTGCAAGATTATTTTAAGACCTTTAAAATTAATTTTGGCAATGAGAGAAGGCATTGAACAATGACTTCTTTGTCAATGATCAATGAGAAGTCATTGACCAATGACTTTCACAGGAAATGAGAGAAGTCAGTGATGAAAGTAGAAGATCACAGAACCACAGGGTAGTTGAGGCAGGGAGGGACCTCTAGAGGTCGACTGGTCCACGCCTGCTCAGGCAGGGACATCTTGAGTTGGGTCCCTGGGACCATGCCCAGAGGGCTTATTAACTTATCCAAGGATGGAGTCTCCACAACATCCCTGAGCCACTTAAAAGACAGACATAAGAAGGTCACAATGAAGCCAAAGTTGAGAGATTCCACACCCTCCTCCATATTTTACCTTTAAAATCAGGTATGTTATTTTGTAGGCAGACTATTTTCAAGACTCAATACCTGCCCAAAAGGAATTGTTTTTTTAAAGACTAATATAAAGCAAGATGCTGCTGTTTGTATATTCCCCAGAGACCTTTACAGCACCCTGAATGAATCTATGGGGTTCCCTATAAACAAAGAGAGTCCAATAACTAAGGACTTAGAATTTAATTGAGATCTGAATTTAATTCCTTGAGGAGCTATAGATATCCTGATCAACCTTGGGCAAGTTAGTTCCATTAACTAAATAAGGATGGCAATAACACCATCAGTACTCTACCTGATATGCCAAGATAAACATGTTGGAGATTAAAGGATTTCTGGATATAGAGGTATTTAAACTCAGTTCCAACACCTCATATGCCACGGGCTGTCAGAAGCAATCTGACCCACCTTTCCTATCCCAAACACACAAACATAGGTTAGATTGCCAGCCTCAGCCAGCATACACAGGAGAAAGAACAGCAGATGGTACAATAGACAGCTGGTTTTTTCTCCCTTACTGAGAAAAGGAGAAAGCAGGTTACTGAACTTCTAACCTTCTTTGGGTGTCATATGGAAAAAAAATGCTTTTCATAAAATATGGGGTTTTGATATAGGAAGAAAATACCACTTATCTGGGGAAGTTGTGGATGCCCCAACCCTGG